CCAGTTGCCATTACCAGCTGAAGGGAGCATTCACATTCTCGGATGTTCCAGTACAGGAATGTTTCAGAGTTCTATCCTGTTATTTAACATCATTATGAAGTTGTTGGATAAACTAATAATATGCTGGGGTTTGGGATGAGATATCAATGTACAATTATACATTCTCATTCCAGGCCAAACTACAAGGGTTATGGAAAGTCTGAATCAGTATCCAGAAGCTGTTAAAGGTTGAAATAAGTTCATATTATATCCTACTATGATCAGAATTTTGCAATAAACATTGTGCTAATGCTGACCCTGACAAATATATTATTTGGGGATACATTTCCTCCCAAAAGATCTGGTTCATGAGGCAGGGCTGTCTTCACAACTCTTGCTAAAAAGTCTCTGGTTCCTGTGCTTGTTGTGGTTAAGTTTCTCTGGCAACGATAACGTATGCTTTGATCACTACCGCAATGCAGTCTACTTGGGGTAGCTTTTGGAGATAATTTGGAAATTGCAATCTAGAATGCAATACCAATAACAGTTGGATGGCAGAGCAATCTCACCAGTTCAGGTTAACCCCATGTTGAAGTCACTGTGCTGCTTACCAAGAGTTTCCAGAAGTGAAAACAGTCAGTTTGAACCATATCCAAAGACAGTAAAGGCATCATTATGAGATATGTCATGGCAATCAGGGAGAAATAATGTGTATCCTCATTGGCTGCATTGACTGCATTCAGGAAAACCATCCAAAAGAGTTTTTGAGGGTTGTGTGGAAGATGATTTAGCCTGTTATAATTCTAGCCAGATTTTCTTATCACTGAGCTCCACTGCAAATAGTTTAGACAGATATTTGCAGACAAAACATTTTAAGCTTATGTGGGGTTTCTGTCACTTTGGTATGGGAAGTACCATACCTAGTTTACGTAACAACTCATTTAATAATATTCGTTTGTATCAGATATATTACTTTTCTCTTGAGGAAGTAGATAAGGCTTTTGGCTTTGTTTGCATCCATATTTGCACATTTGATGTGGTTTTACCATTTGGCTTACAAGGATCCCTAAGAATTTCTTCGTACCAAAGAATAGAATTCACACACATTTTTTTTCCCAGGCAATCTTTTCTAGGACCTTAAAAGAAGTTATGCAAAACTGAAAGTTTTGCTCAACTTTGGACCCCGTTCATTAAACCTATGTCCACGTTTGGCAATCGGTTAAAGAAGTAATGGTTTTGCATCAGAAGTTCTGAGATGAAATGGATTGTTTTTATCCTTTCCAATCTTGGTTCATACTTGAATTTGGCAAGGAGATATTGTGAAATAGATTCCTGTATATTGGGAGGAGGAGGGAGAGTAAACCTTGTTGATAATCTGTTTTCAAAAGCCCTCAAGTATTGCAATTCATCTTTATGAATTAAGTGTCATTGGAGTTGAAACAAATCTATCTTTAAAAAATTAATTTTGTTATTATTTTAGCTTTATGTTTTATACTTGACATGCTTTTAATGTTGTTTTTATGACTGTTTTTACTGTATTTTTGCAAGCCACTTAGAACTAAAAAGCGCTGGGCGCCATATCAATTTTTCTAAATAAACTTATAGGTAAAGTCAATGTGCCTATATGTGCTGACTTAGTAGAAAGTATGCCAATTGGAATTTAAAGACCCAATGCTTGGTTGACAATATATTAATAGTAGAAGGAACTACTGTACCATAATGTGGTAGTCCGCAGTCTTTGATGCAGCATCTCCTCTTGTCCTCTTGTAATTTTATTGCCTAGACTTTCGTTCTGCAAAGAGATTGTTTTCCCTTCCTGTCTGAAGTTCAGAGGTTGTGAGAAAAAAAGCAAGAATGAGCAAAGGCTGGCCTGTATCCTGTTCTACTCAAGGCCCAATCTCAAGTATTCCTTTATTTCAATTAAGTATTTGCCTTTCTGAACTTGGGAGAATGTTTCTTTCAAAGAAGCGAATATTTCGTTCATCAGAAGGAGTCCGGAATGTGACAGGGGAAAGGGAGGAGAAGTAAATCAAAGCAGATAGCAATTCACCAGATGTAAAGTATTTTGCTTCAATGCCCCCTCCCTCTTCCCTCTTCCCTCCCTTCATCCCAACACACACATGCCTTGTTTTTTTTCTCTCCTACCAGAAGTTTCAGAATGTTTGCTGACAATTTAATTCCTTCATATAACAGAGGCACTGACATCCTGTAAAGGAGCAGCAGTTTTGTCTTGCTCCTGATGAAAAGCCAGAGGGAGTTTTGCCTTGAATCATCTGCAACTCAACATACCACACAGACAAACCTTGACTAAGATGGACTGCAGTCAGTTTGAAAGTTCAACTCAAGTTTGAACTATTATAGCTCTTCTTCCAACTTTGTAAATTCATTTTTCAGCTTAGTCAAAGTCTGGAATTGGCAACATTGCCTGCATTTTCTTACCTTGCCTTAGGATGCAGAAGAAAAAGGGTGTCCTGAGAGTTTTGAGTCTCTTCATCAAGATGCCTTTAGTATTGAAGAATGGCTCCCAAGCATGAAATATATAGTCAAGGGTTAGTTAATAGTAAATGATGAACTGGACTGAGAGAGCCTTTGAGCAGAATTTTACTCACAGAGACTCCCTCCCTCCCCCCCCCCCCCCCCCCCCCCCATACAACAATAGTCTGGATATAGTACAGGAGGCTGCAGGGAATAGAAGAGTGGATGAAACTCCTCTGCCCTTCACTTGCTTTCATGGGTTGTGACCAGTGGCGGATTAAGGCTCACTGGTGCCCTAAGCACTGACAAATCTTGGTGTCCCCTCCTTTCAATGAAGAACCAATCTTCATTGGGTTTTTTTTCTTTTTCAACTTTGTGGTGCCCCCTTTGGGCCTGGTGCCCTAAGCACATGCTTAGTCTGCTTAATTGTTAATACACCACTGGTTGTGACCTGCAAAACTCTTTGTGAGGAGAAGCATACATAAAAAAACTACCTTGAATTTAGATTCAATACAAGAGAGAGAAGGAACATGTCTCTTTACAATGTGAATGGGGAGAAATCAAATATTTACTCAGTTACTATGGACATGTATTGTGGATGGGAAAAAAACACAACTTCTACAGATACTGAGAGTATTCATAGTGTTTTATGCGCACTATAAAATCCAGAAGCTTTAAAAATGAGGGAACCACCAAAACTGAATTAGAAGTGTTATAAATGTGTAAAGGAGAGGAAAGAGTTGGAAATGAGTAATAGTTGGCAAAGGTAGGAAAGTAGGAAACAGAAATTAATTAATCATTTAATCATTTCATTTTTGTCTTTCTCCTAATTTATAATCTTAACCCAGTAACAGGACAGACATAATCCTTGACAACAAAATAAATATCCATTAAATATTTTTTGAAAGTGTATTAAAATTTTAAGAGAACCTGCTTATTTATTGTTTTTAAGATCCCATTGAAAAAGGGTATAGGAAATCTTTTTCTAAGTTTTCTTTAAAAAACATGTCCCACAATTGCAGAATAGCTATTAACGGCTATTGTACTTAAGATCAACCCATGTTGCTTAAAGATAAATCCTTTACCAGCATATTTGTAAGTATGTTTGTCAGATTTATGCGTAGTGTCAGAAAGATATTCTCTTGTATATTTATTTTCCTACTAATTGTCATATTTTTAGAAAATTAAATAAGATAATAAGATTTTTTAAAAATATTTACAAATGGTAGCCAAGGAATATGTATGAATATCTCATATTTCATTACATAATCATCCACATAATGCAAATAAGTGATGTCTAGGGAACTCCTTTTTTCTCCCTTTTTTAGATTGATACTATTGGTGTTTTAATAGAGGTATCCTACTGTTGAGAAATACTTGGAAAATTTCTTCTTTCTATAAGAAAATCAGAGCAATTTTTCTGTCTACACCAGGGGTGTCAAACTTGTGGCATCACGTAAACATCACATGATATATCATAACTTTTTCCCCTTTTGCTAAACGGGGAATGGGCATGGCCAGCACGTGACCCATGTGGCCTGCAGGCCGCGAGTTTTACACCCCTGGTCTACACTATTAACAGAAAAATTGTCAAAAAAAACCATTTGTGGCTAGGTCCATTTGGACTTTTCATTTTCATATTACCGTTACCAAAATAAGTTATAATTTTATTTCAAAATGTACCGTACTTTTCATCTGTCATTAACATATTACAAGTGAATAGATTGTTACAATAAAAATGTCTGGTTTTGATTGCTACTAAATATTATATTGAAACATAAAACTCAATTATTATAATGCTTTACACAACTCTCTTCAAACTTCTTATGAATGCGCAGATCATTTTAGACTATCAATGTCTCCTGATTGTCATTAAATAACTATAGAAAAAATGTATGTTCATCTTCCTATAACGATTAAAATTAGCAGAACCTAGATTCAATTATATCTTTTAAAAATCCATTGTACCTTTTAAATGTTGAAGTACAGGTTCATTTAGGAGACCTATTAAGAAAAAAATCTGTTGTAGATAAGTTTGCCATAGATACTACCACTTCCTAATTCCTCATTACTCACAAGATGCTCAATATAAACATATCAGTAATAATATTTGATAAATTTAATCAGTAACTTGGACCAACAGAGAAGAATGCAATTCCAGTATTAAAAAACATCTAATTCTTTTTCTTTCTTTTTTTGCTCAATCTAGTCTTCACACTTAAATAGCAAAGCCAGCAAATATGTAATTTCACTTCTGCACCTATTTGTCTAACACTTCCTTTTTTCCTGTGGATGTCTCCCCTTTATCATTACTGAGATGCTCTCTCAATGAAGCTATACCATTTTTTTCACTATGTTAATCGTAACTTTGTCTGGGTATATTTTTTGTAACTTAAATAGAGTCTTCTATTCACAATCTAAAAATATATTCAAAAATAAAATTTATTGGGAGGACTGCAAGGAGTGGCAGGAGGAATTCAACAGCCAAATGATTTAAGTGTGAAGGCTAAGACAGCTGTGTTAAAATGCTATCCATTATTCCTCAGCAGGTAGAAAAGTACGCCAGCATAAAATTTGCCTGAGATGTATCCAGCATCAACAGCAGCTGCAGCAGTTTCTGCCTTAAAATTTGAATGTGGACCAGGTAAGTAAAGCAACTGATGCATCCCTTTGACTTTGTTTCTCTCCTACTAGACATTATATGCTAGCAGGAAACCACAGCCAATTGCTCTTCCTAACTTAACTGGGACAAGTGGAGATAGAGACTTGGAGTGGTACATTCAGCACCATGCCAATTTGCCCAGAAAAAAAGATCAGAGGTATTCTGTGCCTGTGACCTGTCAACTGGTCAATGTCTCAGCACAAGCCTGTTTTCTTTAAAAAAAAAAAAAAAAAAATACAGGCTCGGAAATTCCTCTGAAAGAGCTCTAAACCTGTGTCTAAAAATAGCCTGGCTGACAGGCCACAGATGGAGGAGCAGAGCAGGGTGAAGCAGGAGGCAGTAACTGATGAGTGTGCTTTATTTGCATCTACCACAGCAAGAGCATGATAGCAAGTCCCCATGCTCAACAGCTTCTGAAAGGAACCCCTGAATAGCAAACTGATATAAATTGGTGACAACACCCCCACCCCCGGAATAATAATAAGAAATTAGAGTCACACCGTACTTCCCTTTTTAGCAGAAGCAGTCAAAAACATGTAAACCAATCAATGGTGACAGAACCAGCAACACCCGCCTGACAGAACCAACCTTATTTCTAGGTTTTAAATCAGCCTTTTGTGAAGCACAAAAGACTAGCATTCTGTCAAGAGAGTCCTGCTTTTTAAGCCCAGGTCTAGGGTTCTTCCAAATGTCCACTGAAACCATATTTTTGAAACGAAACAAACAGACTGAGGCAATATTCTTTCAAAAGATCAGTAAATTTATGTGCCTAAGGCTCCTGATTTGGAAAGGACTTTGGGAAGCCCTGATCAGGCATCATGAGTATAGCTGCCTCTTTGGAAGCCAATTTCCCATCTCTTCTCAAATCAGACCAACTGGTCGTGGAAGGCTGCCTGCAGTAACCAACATGGCTAATAAGCGCTAGGAAGATTCTGGCACTTAAGCGAGGCATCATCAAAATCAAGGAGATTGATTGTAGATCATATTAAGGCCTCCAAATAAGCAAATACCTAATCTGTTTAGTGGAGGTGAAACAAAAGCAGCATCACGAAGATGAGCCATATAAAAAACAGTTTGCAGGTCATAGTTTGTGCCTCTATGGGCCCTTGCTGTTAGATAGAGGAAGCAACCTGGACATCTTAAAAGAAAGCATGGCCACCTGGTAAGACAGCCAAATACAAGATTCCTCTCATTGAAACATTTTGCTTCATATTTTATGTTCATATGCAAAATTATATCTACACATGAAGTTTGATATCCTTTATATGTAGATATATTTTATATGAAGCATTTCATGCAGATCTATCTTTATTTACCTGTTGTGGTGCACAAACATTCTTAATATCATGCAGCAAATGTAGACTTTTTTATAGCAAATAAAGAATTGACAGTGTAAGTTGTAGCTGTTAAGGAGTTTAGAGAATTAGCTCACCTGAAAGAGCAAGATGGCAAATTTGAAGAAACAGTAAGAAATTGCCCTGGTGGTGCTTAGTGGTGCTTAGTGGTACTATATGCCTGAAATTGCATACATTGTAAAGCAGACAGCTTCCAAAGTTCCAGAAAAACTCATCATGTTCATGGGAAATAATTTTTAAGAAGGATGCATTATCAAATGAATAAATGCACAACTTCTGTTTGTTAAACAGAAAGGGGAAAAAACTTTTCATTCAACACACCACTTATTAAAAGGTTTCCTTTAGAAAGAAAACCTTTCTAAACATTTGTTGTAACAAATGCATTTTTCTGTATCAGCCCTGCTTATAAATAAGCCATCTACCTTGACATTGCACTGGCATCAAACAATATGCAGCACACATACTTGTTTAATAGGTTTATTATTTTTTTGCAGATTTTACAATTATATTTCATCAACTGGCACAACAAAACATATTTGGCTATTTTAAGAGGGCTTTTGGAGATTGGCGTGTGGTGGTTCCATTCATATACATTGATGCTTAAATGCTAAATAGCATATTGGGTATTTATTTAAGCAGGCTTCTTTGTACATCCTGACCCCTAGCAATTCTTCACACAGCAGCTTATTGTTGAGTCCTTTAATTATAGAAACAAGAATGGTGGTGGAGGAGGAGAAGAGCTCTTTTTTTAATGTCTGACCTTGAAATGGAAAGAGATTCTGTTATATTACATAGCCCAGGAAATATTAGCAGTATGTTCCTTGGCTTTCATTCGTAAAACTGCAATACTGGAAGACCTCCGTTCAAATTCTGGCTTTGTTTCAAATGCATGTCCATTAGTTCCAGAAAGTAAAGAGTCAGTAAAGAAGTTATTAAGGGGAACATGGCTGAACTGGCTCTGATGATTTGAAAATCCAGAGTACCCAGAATCTGTCCGAGGAGAATGGGAATAAGGGGTCATACAAGAGGAAGTATCCCGTGGAAGCATGCAGGAAGTCACCGAACTGCTAGCTGCATTTCCTGCCCACAAATTATTCTGAATCTGGAACATATAAACAAGAGAAGATTAAATGTATATTTCAAACATCTTTTTCTTCCTCTAGTTTCATTTTTCATTGAATCTATTGTCAATACAGCTGGCAATAGGATAATATTAAGTTTATGCAAATGAAAAATAGAAATTCAAATGAGAACTGTAATTTTCTGAAGGAGTTGACAAAGTAACAAAGCTAATGTTGGATATTCTGTCTTTCATTAGGGAACTGGGTATCATTTGTTGACTTGTCTTCGGCTAGAAAATAGCTTTGGCCATGTTTGGTCATAACCATCTTCCCCAAAGTAAAATTCGACAATGAATGTAATGCTAATAAGTTTGATGAAATACTTGATAGTCATTCATGGAATGTAGAAGCACTTGTTTTATTGCCCCTAAGATTAGGGCCTGTCTTTTCTGAGGAAATCAATATCTTGCTTACAGTCCCTTTACAATAAATTGAGGTAGAATTTTAACAGAAACTCTGAGTCAATGTCATGAGCAACTTTGTGCTCCATTTTTGCAGGAAGACTGATACCAACATGATGATTCTCCTGCAGAAATGCATGCATATAATGGAATATTTTCTGGGCAACTCTGGTTTATAAGTCTGACTTGTACAATAATGAAACTTATATATTTAATGAAAAAGAAGGATATCTCTGCATTTCATTTCAACCTTGAAAATAAAGTTGTATCTAATGTATTTAGAACTTTCATTCATTTTGAAAACTTTCATTTTCATTCATAACTGTTCACAACTATTGATATATTTATTTCCTATTGATAGTATAGCTCAGTGATGCCTTCTGAATTTTTTTTAGCCACTGGAAGATGGCATAAATTTGAGAGGTTTTTTTTTTCCCCTATCCTATTAAGAATGACTGCCATATACTCCAAACAGATCTGGATCTACATAATGGCTTGAAAGCCAACAGTTACTATTTGGATACGATAAGTGTCACTCTCAAAAAAATCTTTTGGAAAATTTCTTCTCTCCCTGGAGAAATGCAGTCAATGATCACTTAATTCTTCTGCCCATGGAAAGTGTAAAAGATTTGCAGGAGATGTTTGTGCACAGCTGTAGGTTCATTCCTTAGTTTGAAATTAGCTTTGTATACAGCAGCAAACATGTACAACTACTCTGAAAATCACTGCAGAAATGGAAGCAATCTATAAAACTAAACATCAATATGTAGGGAGAATTTAACCCTGTCCTCTGACCTTGGATTTGGACCAAAGAAAGAATCAGAATATCAACTACTATTGTCTGACAACAAAAGGACAGATTCATTTCAGCTGTGGTGAGGAAATAGTGCCATGCTTAGAAACCTTTGTTTATGGAGATATTTTCAAACAATTGCAAGCTGGAGCCAGAGTAACTGAGGAAAAGTCAATTTTTGTTATCCTAATCTTCCCTATCAAATTCTTGGTGACTAAATGAATAAACTGGAAATAGGATTGCATTCTTCTTTGAGAATGTCTTCTGCACATATAAAACTGTATATGCACAGGAACTATAGGAATAAATAGAAAATCCCAGCAAGGGATACAAAAGTGATTGTACATGTGGTTGTACATTTGCTGATGTCTGACGTATATTTCTGTTCTCTTTTCTGATTGATTCATAGCAACATTTGAATGGCAAGAATGAGAATACAAAGTGCTCCTTACTCACATGATTCTTAGCATCCTTCCCTCTTTCCATATATTCCATTTCTCAAAAATCCTCTTGTACAGATGTTCCAACATCCAATGGAGCACTTCTGGAATGTCAGAGAAGTCATACTGGCATTCCTTATGTCTAGTAAGGACCACTTTTATGGTTGCTAAGAGATCACCATATCATCTCACGAAACAACTTACTAACCCCCATGGTTGGGCCACATTTAGGATTATATTCATGTGGCTGTAGGTATGCTGCCCCGCTTGCCCCATGGATGTCACACAAACAAGCATTCCCATCCCAGACCAACTCATATCTGTCGACACATCCCCAAAGGTCAAATACTACCAATTGTGTGTGCTTATTTGCTGGACATATTTAAATCAAAGCAGAACCACAAACATTTCTGCTGTTAATATATTTTAGAACATTGATATTATTTACAGTAATTAAATTAATAAAGTTATGGTTCCAAATAGCTCAAAAATTCTAGAAAAGTCTAACCCTTCATCCTTTTGGGGGGTGGATGGAGGAAGACACAACATGTGGCCACGATTAGGTTTCAATTTAATTTTGTTCAAAATAAATATATAACATTCCACATGGCAACCGTTATGTTAATAATTATCTTAGACTTTCATTAAACAAATAATTATTAATATCAGTATAATCCAAAATTGGGTTAGCTTTTCCAAAAAACTGGCACAAAAAAAAAAAGCAAGAATCTTGCTTGTAACAGCCAGTTCTAATTAAACCATGCAAACCAATTTCCACACAAGTGGCTAACAAACTAAATAACTAAGTTCCTTTTTGCTTTAGCATAGGTAGTAAATTTTAACTTAGAGTGCCATCCAAACTTTCTTAACAT